ATAAGGCATGTGTGTGCACTTTTAAATGAAATGTGCATACTGTGTGTTAAAAGGCATATATTTTCTAAACCCAGTGTGATCTGGTTGGGACTTTGATATGGGGGGGGGGGAGAGAAAGCATTTCCTCAATTTATTGTACTGGAATGAATTTTTTTTTCATAAACACTGTTTTTAGAGCGCCACACTTCAAGACTCCAGCTCCCAACACGATTCATCCATCTGTCTTTGCCGTGCCCACACACCTTTTAAAAATATGCTTCTGCTTATTTTATACAGCAGAATCCATATGGTCATATGGTTTATGGCAATGTTGGGCACCATATGGCAGTAGTGGGCTGTGAAGAACAAAAACCCAAAATAGGTCCTACTGAGATCCAGCAGCTACAGCTTGGTGCAAAAGGTATGTTGATAGAATGGAAGAATTATGAGGCCCGGCCTATGTTTTGTGGATCAAAACAGAAATAAGATCAAAGGAAGTTCACATCAAATTCCATTCCTAGTTATCCCCAAGTATCTTGATTGTAGGACTGGTGGCTCAGAGTCTCAGGCAGGCCACACATCACCCTGCCATGGTTGGATTAGGTCCTCTCCTGGGTGAACCAAAAGCTACCACAGCATTTTAGCAAACTAATGCAAATTGGGCAGGGGAAGATGTTTTGCTGCTGGCATTATGAAAGAGAGAGAGAGAGAAAAAATTATTATTTCCTTCTTTTATTGAGATACCTTTTCCAAATAAATCTGGGGGCTGTCTCTTGGGATTTCTTAGAGCTTTCATGACGATTTATTCTCGAAGAAAAGCCAAGATGTTCAAGATTGTTACAATGTCTGGGCAGAATAGCACAGCTACCAGCCCTGCACAGGATTCCCCTGAAAAGGGCAGAAGTAACACCAATTGGGATTTTTACTATTCCTTCAAAGAAAGACATCTTTCCTGTGCAGGATTTGCTGAAAAGAATATTACACTGCACAGAATTTGGCACTTTCATTTGCAGAATAATAGGTGAAGAAACAAACAGCAGGATACATGAGTCTGGGTTCCCAGTTTTGCAGGAAGCTAGGAATTCTTGTTGAGACGACTCAGTAGGAAGTCTCAGTATGGCAAGATTTGAAAAATTTCTAAGAATTAAAAAAATTCTTGTGTGCTCAGCATGCCCTCGCCTCAGTGAACAGATAGCTCAGTGGTTTAGGCATCTGGCCGCAGAGGCAAGGGTTGGGAGTTTGATTCCTCCCTGTGCCTCCTTGACATGGGCCGGACTCAATGACCTATTCTATAGGGTCCCTTCCAGTCCTGCAGTTTTAAGTTGATGATAATGATGATGATATATGCAAACATAGGGAAGATAGGGAATATGAAATTTAATGGAAGTAGGAAAGCTAAAGCATGGGGTATGGCCTTATCAGTGATTGTTAAGGAGAAGTGACAGGGGTATTAAGGAAGACCTCCCAATAATTGATACGCAACAAGTACATCCAAACACAGATAAAGGGATGAATGCAAGTATGCTGGGGGAAAATATTCATCCAAGGCCAGTATTAGGGTAGGGCCCATAGCTGGTCCAGGGTGGAATCAGAACGGGCCTAGGGAATAGCCACAGATAAGTTGTTAGTCTTTAAGCTAACATAGGTCTCTTCTTATTTTGGCTGCAACTGACAAACGTGGCAACCTCATTGTAAATTTCGATTCTTCTTTTGTAGGATTGAGTGACTGAGTGAAAGTGTTCGATTCGCAGGTTTTGTATAGACCTATGGACGTAGACCAGGCAGGTAAAGCATTTGCCCTGATAGATCCATTTCCCACAAATGGGATACCAGATAATACTGTAAGTTATGAAAAAAAGAATGTGGGATCAAATTTAACTTCCTGGTTATGTGAATGTAAAGCACTGAATGAGTTGTATCCAGAATCTGCCATCTACAAACAGGATACATCCTTGTCATTACAGAGGGTTTCTGCTCCAGTACATCATTTTCAGTTGCCAGGATGAAGAAAGAGGCAGTCCTTCCAACTTCTTATGTGGCTCCCTCCTGCCCTTGAAAATCTGCTTTGGAGGGGCAGAGAAAGGCAATGCCTCATACAGTGTGCCAAGGAGCTATGGTCAGTTTCTGGCAGGAATTGGAAAAGATGGCTTCTTCCCCTCCTTCCCAGATCATGATTTTTTTTTACTACAGCTCCCAGAATCCTCTAGCCAGTATGGCCACTGATTCTCAATCTAAGCCATCGGTTGCTATGTATGCTCAGTTTCATTTTCTTGTTTTGTCTGCTGTGAGTATCATTCACTGTTGATTACAAGCAATGTGGGAGACACAGCAAGGTTATTTGCATTAAATGGGTCTCTGAGGAAAGTTTCTGGGACTAGGATTTTAAAAAACGATGGCAAGATAGGGCTGGTGCTTTTTGTTTAAATGAGTGCTCATTGTAGTACATACTATTCAGTATTCACATTAAAAGAACTAAGACATTTTTGCAAAGAAGCAAGGATGCTGATTCAGGCCAAGGAGAACATAATGCAACATCTTAAATATATTGTTTCATTTGACTTTGTAATTGTCTCAGAGAGTAGGGAAAATTGAGTGTGAAATTGTTTGGCTAGTGAGTAATCTTAACAGTCCTTCCTTACGACTTTCCTAAGGGACAAGGAGGTAGAAAAAAAATTTGTTATAAATTAGCTGATCCTTCCAGTATAAAAGGGAAATGCAACTACAGCGAGGATGGTACAATTATGTTTCCTTTTCATTAGAAAGATTGGAAAAAAATCAGGCAAATTGACCGGATATGATTTAAAGAACCTCATGAATTTGTCCAAATAATTGCAGCACCAGGATTTCTCTAATTTCCTCCTCTGGCTTCCCCTTTTTGCACTGCATCAGAGATAAGATTGTAAAGATCCCCTGCCATCAGATACTGGCTTTCCTTTCATTTTTTCCTCTTCCCTTTTATAAACAGAAAGGTCTGCACTGGAAATAAGAATAGAAAAATCTGGTTTCCTCTGAATTTGTTAAAACGTCATATCCTTTCCATTCCGGATACAAACTTCGCAAATGGTGATAAATCCTTCCAAAATGTGAAAATGCACAAAAATTCTCACAATCTTACCTATCAGGGTGAAAACTTCTGAAAGTTTTCATTTTCACTTGTGTGGGAAATCCTTAGCAAGAGCGGGGGATCATCACCAAAACTCACCTCACTCTCTGTTCACCTGATAAAATCCTACACTAGACCAAAAAAGAATTCTTTTAGCAGAGGAATGTCAGCTGGGTACCGCCTGGTTCACAAGAACAATAATTAGCTACACCCTGACCAGTGGACCTCACTTTGATATATATGCATATTATCAAAATCCAGTGTTCTATATACGTAGAACCAGAAACAATGAGCAGAATTGCACAAAGAGCCTGCATACTGAACCAGTTCAAACTCCTTGGAAGTTCATTTCTACACATGCAAATAATACTCGCTTAATTCTCCATTCACTCTGATTTGGCTATCTTGACATCATGAAAAGGAGTTTTCAAGCCCTACAAGCTTTCTCACCTCCAGGTGAGAGCAAGACAAGGGGGACTATTTTTTTTTTGGTTAACATCGTTGTAATTTGCTCTGCAGAAATCTTGTGGCCTCTCCCTTTGAGAAGCAAAGCAAACGTAGCCATGCATAAACCCTGACACATGCTTAGAGCGAGCACAGAATGATTGTTTGGTTTTTTAAAAAGATGGAAACAGTCTCTCTGATGTGTCTATTCCTTTATGCAACAAAGTAGTCCAAGTTGTGTTCAGTGGTTAAAACATTATTTGTGAAATCTGATCACACGCACGCACAAACGCACACACACACACTAGTGCTACAGATTACTTCACCCTCTTGTAATTTAGCAGTTCCTTGTCTTCACATGTGAAGGCAGACAAACAAGGATTTACATCTCCATCTCTCTTCCTTTCCTAAAGAATCCTGGGAACATGTACTTTTCAGTTAAACATCCTTGTCTTATATAAAATATCCCCAATAAAATTTTCACCACCATCTCCAAACTAATGATCCTCCTCGTCATCTTGGCCCTGCAGAGCTGGAAGGGACCCATCCAGATTCGTTGCAGAATGTGGAACACTTTAGCCCAGCCATTCTCAACTTTTTTTTGGCCACAGCCATAAACACATTATGTAAGAAGTAAAGTGGTGCCTCGCTTGATGACGTTAATTTGTTCCAGCAAAATCGCTGTAGAGCAAAAATGTCATCAAACGAAATTTAAAAACCCATTGAAATGCATTGAAAACCGTTCTATATAGATTGGATCAGGATTGTATACATTGCATAACCAACCTTATAAGGTGGTGTGTGAAGAACTGTTTCCAGTCTGTGGCCCCCATCAAATGTGCCAGGGTCCCCTAGGGAGCCATATGGTCCCTGTTGAGAATGGCTACTTTAGACCATCCCCACCCCCTGGTCCCTCAGCCAGCATAGTCAGTGGAAGTTGTGTCTCTGAGTTGTTCTTCACAAAAGTAACTTTTCCAGGCCCTGATCTATTGAGAAAAACCATGGCATTTAGGCTGGTATAAAACAGATGCATGCTTTTAGTAAGAGTGGTCCGAAGACGATGGTGTCCCCCACTCTATGGTGGGCTGGTGAAGAATGAAAGCTACATGAACTCAAGAAATTTCAGTATAAATGATTTCCTGGCCACACGTCTTTGCTCCCATTAGGTGACTTGGCTGTTTAACAGGGCTAAAAGGACGATCCAAAGAAAATAACTCCAAGCAAAAGAGAAGAAAAACAAAATGGACAAACATCATGCTGCTTGCGCCCAAAGCAAACACAGTAGAATAGTTTAAACAATCATCTTGACATTTCATCATTTCACACAGAATACTTCCATTTTCAGTTCTATTCATTTTGACACTCACTTGTCACCTGTCATTATACACTCTTTTGTGTTTTCCACTTTGAACGTGGCAATTGCTTCTAGCTCTTACAAATAATTTTTTTAAAAAAAACAATCCTGTATAATTACCTTGTGAAGTCTGTCATCTCCATCATAATCACACACATCTGCTTAGCCAGTACGATGATGTCGTTGCTGGTATCATCCCATATCTCAATTTCTGCGTCAAGCTTACTCTTGACTTTCCTAAAGTCAGCTACTTGTTCCGCGATCTTTTCTTTCTCAGCCTCTGGCAACTGAGTCATTTTTGCCTGCAATGAAAGATAATTGGATTTGCCAAACATCTGCCTTCGTCCGATGGTGTCCTCTTCTAAAGGAAGGCAAGCGGACATTAGCAAACAATGTCTGTGATAAGATGTCATTTTGAAACAACAGCTGAAATATGATCTCCATATCTTTGGGCCATAAGGCACGACTGGTCTTGGATCACGAAGTTTCCAGAGCCATAACTTTTATTTATTTATTTATTTAACTTATATGCCGCCCACACTACCCAAAGGTCTCTGGGCAGCTTACAACAATTTAATTAAAAATATATAAAGATAAAACAATTAAAATACAATTAAAAATACAGTACTCTAAAAATTGACATCAGGACCCATAGTTGATATTATTTCAATTAAAAATCTTCTGGAACAGGCAGGTTTTGACCTGGAACTGAAATGTCATCAACGTCAGTGGCAGATGAATCTAACTTGGGACAGCGTTTTGTAGTCTGGGGGCAGCTGCCAAAAAGGCCCTTTGTCTTCAAGCCATCCCTTTTACCTCCTTGAGGGATGGCTCTTTCAGGAGGGCCCCCTGACTAGATCTTAATTGCCGTGTAGATTCATATGGAAGGAGGCAGTCCTTCAGGTATCCAGGGTCCAAGCCGTTTAGGGTTTTATATGTCAAAACAAGCAGAATTGGACCCGGGCAGCAAATGGTAGCCAATGTAATTTGAACAGAATTGGCCTGATGTGTTCCCTAGCGGCCCGACTGCTCACCAGCCACGCAGCATGATTCTAAACCAGTGGCAGTCGCTGGATCATCTTCAAAGGCAGCCCCACGTACAGCGCAATGCAGTACTCTATACAGGATATTACCAGTGCATGTGTAACTATCATAAGACTCTGCTTGTCCAGGTAGGGCTGTAGCTGGTATAATTTCTGCAGCTGAAGGAAGGCGCCCCAGCCACCAAGTCCACCTGGGCTTCCAGAGTTAGACCATCACTAACTGTTCTACATAGAACTATCCATTATCTCCATCACATCTTCAGAATGTTCTCAAGCCAGCAACAGTACATGAGGAGGGTGGAATGCCATATCCCCATGTTGTAGTCCTGACAACAGCATGTGAGAATATTAACTCCTTCTCCCTATGTCACAGTCCAGATGACAATCAGTAGCTATGTACTGGCCACCTAGCAACCCCCTAGTATCATTAAATATGGTCACACTTTTAACATGCCATTTATGTCACAATATGGTACAGCCATATATGTCATGGCATGTTATTACATCAGAACATGTTACCCTGTTTCCCTCCAAATTAAAACCTAACCTGAAAATAAGCACGAGTATGATTTTTAGGATGCTCATAATATAAGTCCTACTCCAAAAATAAGCGGTAGTTAAGTGAAAACCTGCCCTTCACCATTGTGCAGCAACCAGAAGAAGATGACATGACTGTATTTGAATACATGCATATTGTTGTACATGTGTTCCGCTAGGGAACACATCAGGCCAATTCTGTTCAAATTACATTGGCCTGGGAACAGCCTGACTCTAGCACCGAACAGCTGACTGACCACATGACTGCTGCCTCTCAAAATGGCTGCCGCCTCTCCAAAATGGCTGCCGCCTCTCTGCTGTTCCTTCTTCCAGCAAACCCTGGCTCTCTGCGAAAAGGAACCAAAAGGGGCAAAAGGAACTCTCCCCATGATGCAGCCAAAGCAGAATCACGCAGGCGGAAGAGGGGGTAGTCTTATACAGCAAGTATATAACAAACTCTACATTCTGAGTGGGAATGTTTGGGGGTCGTCTTATACGCCCAGTCGCCTTATACACCGGCAAATACGATAGATAGATATATAGACAGACAGACAGACAGACAGACAGACAGACAGACAGACAGACAGACAGATGTTCATGCCTGACATACGCAGAAAAGAAAACTACTCACATGAGTAGTCACCATGGAACAAATTAAATATTGTCATCATCTGGAATATAGGTAGGTAGGGATGAAAGCTGTCTCTCATAACTTTTATGGTTTTGCTAGAAACAAAGAGCAACCTGAGCCCTCTCTCGGGGGTGTTCCCACGGCCTCCCCTATAACTAAAGAGATCCTTTATACAGCAGAATAAAATGTTCCTCCTAAAGTCATCCTTTTATTGGGTTCCCTGCACTGTTGGACCAATGGGCTTCCTTTCACTGCATAGTCCTACCAAAAACTTCTCCTGAAGGTCTGGAGACCTTTGAGGAAAGAACTGCCAATAATAAGAGATATTAGAATTGCCGCCACTGCTGCCACCACCACTACCACTACCACTACCACTACCACTACCTACTACTACTACTACTACTAATACTAATAATAATACTAATACTACTACTACTACTACTACTACTACTACTACTAATAATAATAATAATAATAATAATAATAATAATAATAATAATAATAATAATAATAATAATAATAATAATAATAATAATGAGACCTAGCAGTTTAAACAAGTGGAAAGTCCAAACAAATAACTTTTTCAAGATCTACTTATAGTATATTGTAGTGAAAAAGCAAACATCACATACTACATCACCAGTTAAAGAATACACTAGGAAATATGTGCTTACATTGGTTGTGCATCTAAAAACATTTAACTCATTTGCCAGGGCTCAGAACAAAGGTTCTGTACCTGCAGCCATCCCCATTTGCTCGGATGATTTTTGTATGTTCCGTTGCTCTTGTGAAAGTTTTTAATACAAGCCGGATTGTGACTATCTATCTATCTATCTATCTATCTATCTATCTATCTATCTATCTATCTATCTATCTATCTATCTATCTATCTATCTATCTATCTATCTATCTATCTATCTATCTATCTATCTATCTATCATTCATATGCTCACCCTTCCTTGTAAACAGCCCAGTGCAACTACAAACCTACATGAAATATAACACATAAGCACCATCAAAATCATAATTCAAAAATCTGAAATACTTAGCAAAAGGCAATAAAAGGATCAGCAAAAGTGGACAGATTGATATAACAGAATAGAATAAAAGTATCAGCAAAAATTGTGTGAATTTTAATGTGAGCCACTTTGGGTCCCTTCTTGGGTGAAATGTGGCATATAAATAAAACTAATAATAATAATAAAAATAAAATCTGCAGACTATCAGCAGAGAGACAGCAGCAACAACAACAATAACAGAGAGACAGCAGCAGCAGCAACAATAACAACAATGTGCCATCATGTCAATGTTGAGTTATGGTGACCCCTTCTAGGATTTTCTAGATACGAAGTACTCAGGCGTGCTTTAATGTCCTCTTATTTTGGGGGACACCTTGGGACTGTGCAGATTGCCCAAGGCTAACCAGCCTGGCTCCCCTCCTTGGAGGCACAATGGGAAATTGAATTCCCCAAATACCTATATCATAGGTGAACCCTCTGAATGTCTTTCTGGTCAAAAAGGAGGGTAACTGATAAATCATTTTCCCCATGCAATTTGGACATTTTTCAAGTCATAATCAAACCATGAGATGAGTTTGCTGCATAGTGTTAATGTGAACTGGCCTCATGTAATCTGGGCTACATTTTAATTAACTGCTAATGTCTCAATTGTTTTTCTTAATGAATGGATGCATGGAAAGAACAAAAAATGTGAGGCAAGAATAACACCACAGAAAGCAAGCCTTTTCTATTGAAGATTTTTTTCCTCTCAAAAAGAGAGGACAGCTCACAAGGATATGAGACATAAATGCAGAGGCTTTTGCAATGAGCTGTGAATAAATTCTACAGTTATGTTGGATGAATTATTTAAAATCATGCAAATTGTGAAGGAGAGGAAAACCTCTCTTCAGCTTTACAATTCTGCCCTACTTCAGGCAAACACAATGAATTCATTGCAAAACAGCTTCCATATGTCGCAGACATTTGTAGGGTCCATGACCTTACCTGGCAGGACAACCACCGTTCCATACATTTAAGGCCCTAACAAGCCATGTGCTTTGAAGCAAGTTCCTTGAGATCATACATTCTTACTTTCTTTGTAACACTGCTCTCCACTGCTCATAAATCATGCACAATAATCAGACTACAGGGATTGATCTGTATGGAAATCTTCTCTGATGTCTAAGTCACAGATACAAGGACTTTCAAATATTGTCCCTCTTGAATGTGAAAAGTTGTGCCAGCTGAAAATGGAAATGAGGCTGACTCACAGCTCTGTTAAAGTAAATGTTGACATTCAAATCCAACACTTAAGTCTCACTCCCACTGCACACGTTTGAATGGCTCCTCCTCTTTTTCTCTTTGTATCCCTTCAATAGCCTTGATGCAACAATACTATGTTGCTAGCAGGAATGAATGAAATCAGTCGGTCTCTGGCCCATGGCACTGCATTCTGTGTGTTCCATTCAATTTCTACACCAGTACATTTTTTAAAAATATGAATGAAAAAAGTGTTCCACCAATGCATGAGATTCTGGATTTACCGAATTTAGGTATTTTCCTATTGATGAATGCATTTGTTTTATTTTTCAACTGCATGCACTTTGGCCATTTACGTTTTGAAATACAAATGTGAAAAATTTTCTGCACACTTCAACCAGATTTCTTTGTGTTCACCGTGTGTGCCACAGTCCACTGCCCATGTGTTTATCCTGGGTGTTCACTAACTCTTGCACATATAGAAACCCCATTACTTTCAATGGAATACTCCCCAACTCCAAGGTGGAGATCACATGGAATACAGTACTATGCCCATGAAGCCGTACAATCCATGTTTTACGACAACACTGTTGATGTAAATACAAAGAAACTGCAGATAATTTGAAATTTGGGAATGTGAGAATATTAATTCAGTTCTTTTTAAATAAAAATAATTTATCAAAATTTACAAATGTCTCCATATCCAGGTGATAAGGAAACTGATATCTTTAAAAACTGAAGATGGGAGAAATATTGACAACCGAATGCTAAAAAGTCTGAATGCTGGTGTATTCAACCACACTGGTGGGAAATTGGGATTTTTCACTTGATTT